ACTGCCTTTACTCATGCATTCATGGTATTAAGTGCATGGAGTGAATCATTTTGTATGCACACAAGTATTTTCTTAAAAAGTCATTTCACTTTAATTTTTGGAGTAACATGTTATTTTCTTTTATTTTACCTTCACAATTTTGTTTACTCAGTGAACCATTTGGTTTTGATCTATATAGCCTATCACTTTCCCGTATTAATAAAAAATATTGTAATTTGAGGGATGCACTTTTTATTTTTTTTCATTACTTACTGATTCCCATTATCTAATGTATTTTGTTAATTGGTTTGATGAACTCCAGCTGTATTTTTCTTGACTGGGTTAGATGAACTCCATACCAATGAGTTAATAAAAACTTGATCTATTTATTTCAGGGGGCTTAAAAGCTATTCTAACAGATCAAAATAAGTTGGTTGTAGCAGTTGGTGGAGTGACTGCTCTAGCAGCAGGGGTCTACACTACAAGGTATACATTGTTCAGAAGGCTTGGAATGAGCTACTAATTCGGCTAAGTACTATTTTAGGTTTGATTTTAGAAGCTTATATTTGGCACAACATTCCTTTCAAAGTCTGTATCTACTCAGTTAACTATGCAATTATTGATTATTGATGACATTTTTTATCAAACTTTGTTTTAAAAATGAGGACAGTGGGGCAATGTAGTAATGAGATATATCTTATATATACCCGTTAGTTAGATAGTTAATTAGGTTAGTTGGTTGAAGAAATATGGCTTGTTGTCTATAAATAAGAAGCGGGGTTGAGACTTGAGAGTAGTTAGTCAATTGATCAGTTAGTATTGTGGCCAGGGAGAGTCTTGGATCTCTCAAATATTCAGGGAATTTGTGCATTCTTTCTTTTCATCCATAAAACTACTTTCTTGGTGTGCTTAATCTGAACCAGTTTCTATCAATATCATTATCAATTACTGTTTTTCCTGCCTTAATCGTTTTGAGAGATTTTAAACTTGATTTCCCTGTTTTTTCCCCTTTTGCATCAGATATTTGTTACCCATATAAAAATTGCACTTTGTTGTCATATGCATGCTACAGTTGTAAAATTTTATTCACATTGGACATTGTGTGTCATCAGTTGCTGTTAGTGGAGTCATGGCTCATGCTATTGTATATTTGCATTGGTCTTTTTGTCTAATCCAGGGAAGGTGCCCGGGTAATATGGGGATATATTGATAGAATATTGGGACAACCATCATTGATTCGTGAGTCCTCCAGAGGGAAATACCCCTGGTCTGGTGTGTTTTCTCGTGCGATGAGCTCCCTATCTCGACGTACTGATTCGGGATCTGCTTCACAAAATGGTTTTGGTGATGTGATTTTGCATCCTTCTCTTCAGAAAAGAATTGAACAGCTGTCATCTGCAACGGAAAATACAAAACTCCATCAGGCACATTTCAGAAACATTCTCTTTTATGGCCCTCCAGGAACGGGAAAGACAATGGCTGCTAGGGAGTTAGCTCGTAAATCTGTATGTTTTTTTAACTTATCCATTGATCTTGTTATTCTAAATTTAAAGTATTTCATACCATCTACCTTTCTTATTCTGATCAGTTTATCCTTGTGTTCATCAATTTTATTTATTTTTTAATTGTAATTTTCTTCTTTCAGATAAATGCTATTTTATTCAATTTGTGTTTTTCAATTTAATGCAGGGACTAGATTATGCATTAATGACTGGAGGAGATGTTGCTCCACTGGGATCACAGGCTGTAACAAAGATACACCAATTGTTTGATTGGGCTAAGAAATCAAAAAAGGGTTTATTGCTTTTCATTGATGAAGCTGATGCATTTCTGTGCGAGTAAGCAATACTTGTTCCTAGTTTTTTCATTTATTATGCATCTCCTTGCTCATGGCAACATAAGATGATCAAGTGCAGCTAGATGCAACCTACTCAGGATCATGTTTGTTGTTTTTTCTTAAACGAAACCAACATTCTTTGCATGAAAATTGTTTGAATGGTTCATTGCATTGGATGGATTTTGCAGGAGGAACAAGACTTATATGAGTGAAGCTCAAAGAAGTGCATTAAATGCCCTTCTCTTCCGAACTGGTGACCAGTCCAAAGACATAGTCCTTGCTCTTGCCACAAATCGTCCTGGTGATCTTGATTCAGCTGTTGCAGACCGAATCGATGAGGTCCTAGAATTTCCCTTGCCTGGGGAAGAAGAGCGCTTCAAACTTCTTAAGCTCTATCTGGACAAGTACATAGCCCAAGCTGGATCAAGAAAATCTGGTTTGGTTCAAAATTTGTTCAAACGACAACCACAACAAATAGAAATTAAGGGATTAACTGATGATATCCTAAAGGAAGCTGCAGCTAAAACTGATGGCTTTTCTGGAAGAGAAATAGCGAAACTGATGGCCAGTGTCCTGGCTGCTGTATATGGAAGTGAGAATTGTGTGCTTGACCCAAGCTTGTTCCGTGAAGTGGTAGATTATAAAGTTGCAGAGCATCAACAGAGAAGAAAATTGGCAGGTAGTGATAAACCTATGGCATGAGGATTTTTAGAGATTTTGTTAGGAACCCTTATGATGTAGGGCTGATCCATTGCATTATGTTATGGGCATGCTGTTATTTAATGATTTAATGATTTCCCTAATTGATGGGAAGATTTTGGAATTTGAATTTTGTAGTGTTTCATTTACGGCTGATTATCAGTATTCAATATTCATCACTAAATGTAGCACAGCTGATTCAGGCTATGCTATGACGTTGAATATTCTTTTTCTCCCTTCACCACTGAGCATAAACTAGAGTTTCATGCTACCATTGGAACTCACATGTATTTCTTGAAAAACCATAAGTCTACCCTATTGTGGTCGAGGAGAGGCTCTATTTTCCTGTGTAATTTGTTTATATCGTACTAATTACAATAATAATTTGTGGGTTTCAATATTATTATTTTTATTGTTGTGCATGTATGCACCGGAATAGAGAATGGGGGTGCTTAGTTTGGTGGAGGATTAACCACGGGTGAAATGCGCATGCTTAATGCTTATTATATATAATTGAAGTTTATATTAATCATGTATATAAATAATATTATATTTGAATATATAGATATTATATTTAAAAATATCATAAATATAATTTGAATTTGAAAAATATAAAAAGTTAAAACAATTTTTAAAAATGCTCTTTAATGAAAAGTTTATATTGTTGTGTGTGTGTATATATATATATATATATATAAGGAAGATTATAATAATATTGGTGTAATTTTTATTAGTATTATACTGTTCAATAACTCTATATTAAATGTAAATTTTGTAAATCTAACCGTTAGATTGAAAGTTCTTTACTCTTAGATCATATATACAAAATTTTATATTAATTTAAGATAATTTGATATTTCATTTTTATAAAACAAAATTAACGTAATATAATTATTTCTAAATATACTAAAATATGAACACTTTAATTGTTTTTAAGTTATTGTTTAATTTTAACAAAATTTGATATACACGTAAAGTGATATGTACTTTCAACTATTTGGACTATATATATATGAATGTGCTAATGTATACTTGTTTCTTTTTTAGTCGAAATATGTTTCAAGATAAAATAATTATAATTTATTTCAAGATAATTCTAAATATAATTTAATATATTTTATCTAAAATAATTATAATTTATTAATATATTCTAACTAAAATAAGTGAGTGGAACACAAAATTCTAATTTAATATATCTGTAACTGATTGACCAATATTGTAGTAATTTGTGATTTAAAGATCAATGTGTACACGAAAAGTAACAAGTTTTGTAATTTAGGCTCTGGTCATTAAAAATGCAAATGTAATAGTTTTTTTTTTTATAAAAAAAATGTTATTTTTTTAAAACTAAAGTATTCTTAATTAAAAGTTAAAAACTAAATCTTTCAAAATATTGAAATTTATTTAACAAGTTATTTCTTAACAAATATTTTTTTATATATACATATTTAGAATTGTTTTTTTTAATTACATATTTAAAAGATAAGATTATATATCATGTCACATTTTATTGGTTAGAATCGATTTTTTTAAAATTACATATTTAAAAAGATAAGATTTTATACCATGTCACATTTTATTGGTAAATGTAAAATACAGTTTAAGATGAGTGAGTTTTGATTAGGGATGACAAATATACCCGTACCCGCGGGTAATACCTGAACCCGTCCCGACTTTGACGGGGAATACCCGGTTTGACCGGGTACGGGTAAAACCCGATACTTTAAATCGGGTACGGGTACGTGTATGCCCGCCCCGTACCCATACCTGTCCCATTTACATTTTTAATTTAATATCCTCTTTCAATTTAATTATATTAAGAAATTTTAATATTTTTTTATGTGTGATTATTTATTATAAAATAATATAGAGAAATAACTTAATTATAATTATAATATAATAAAAAAATAATTTAAAAATATAATAAAAAATAAAAAAATTGACGGGTATGGGTACGGGTATACCCGATACCCGATGGGGACGGGGATGGGGATGAAAATCACATACCCGACGGGTACGGATAGGGGACGGGGATGAGTTTAACTCGCGGGGACGGGTATCATAAAACCCGTACCCGCCCCGTTGCCATCCCTGGTTTTGATCCCCTTGATTCTAATCGTTAACATTTACTTCACATTTTTACTATAAAAATTAAATCTGAACTTAAACTTTGCAATAATAAATGATGTGGCAAAAATGTGACATTCCTTGTATAAATAAGTAAATAAAAAATTTGTAGCTTCTTTTATAATTTTATATTAACAATAAACAATAGGTATTTTTTCTTCTATTTTATATATATACAAATCAATGCTACACGGGGCTTTGCCCCTCGAATTAAAAAAAAAAAAAAAATGTTTATAATATTTCCGTTAATAATTGGATAGAATTTAAAATGAAAGAAAATTTAAATAACTACGAATATTTGAAGGTTAAATATGATAAATTAGACTCGTGAAAAGTAATGTTATCAGGATTCATGAGCTTGCAAATTAGGAATTACTTATATAGAATAGATCGATCAATGAAGCTGCATTTCTAGTCTCACACAATTACTAACTGCACATAAGAATGTAACCTCACATCACCAGAAGATGGTAACATGAACATCTTATTTAGCAAATGGTAACAAAGATGTATATTTGTTACAACATGATTTAGTCGGGAAACATTTTAACCAAAAACATCAATGTTCAGCAGAAAATTCCGTTCATGCACACCAGAATCCTTGTAGAAAGCAGTCCTAATGGTGATGATCCTGAACATACCGAAGGCCACAATATTTGCAAATAGCTGGCTCGGCCAAGTCAAGGCATATAAATTCAATCGGGTGTCCAAGAGCAGGATTGGTATCTGAGACCACCAACAGCGTATCCAAATTAGTTATACTTTTATGAAATTAATAATGTAGGACCGGAAACTATACAAGGTTTGTATCTCCGTTAAATATTGTGCATGTTCAAAGAGAATAGAATTTTAAAAAAGGTGTACCTCCTTCACAAGCAACTATTCTGCCTTCAACCTTAATCGGAGGAACTTCATTAATCAGCTCCATTGGCGATTTCTTGCTTGTATCCTATCACAGACAGTAGAAACAAACGAAAGTTTCACATGTTGCTGACCACAATTTTGTAAGCAGGAATTAGCTAACCGACATCAGTTAGCCACTATCCTCTTTATTTTAGATTATAAAAGACGACAAAAGCCCAAAACAAACTAAATAAAGTCGGAAACACTGCAGGGCAAAGCAGCCAAAGAGGGATAGATAGAGGTAGTCAAGAAAAAAATAAAAACATAAATCAACTCAAATTGTAATGATCCATACTGAACCAGGAAAAACAATATACAATAAACCAATTTCATTTGATTTCAATTCAGTTCTTTAGCAATGAAGCATTTCAATTTATTTATCCACGGTTTACCAAATTATATACAGTTATTAATCATTAAAAAGACATATCTATTAGTGATGTAGAATCCAAAAATTTTAACATCTCTCTTCATCTCGCTACAAGATTATACTCAGCATATCATTCACTCGAACAAATTTTTAACTCTGGTCTTTGTTCCCCTTCAAAGCTGCCATTGCCACATTCAACTGTTTGAATCCACTGTCACTTGGATATTGATTGAAGTTTGAAGTTATCTACATTGTTCAACCATTTGAAGTTGCTTCAGCTGATCAACAGTTCAAAGTTTCTATTGTGAACTGAGCCTTCCATTTTTTTGAATCAAGCTGGGTGTTCATTTATATACCAGTGTTATTGAGAAGTATTGCATTCACACCATTGCCATTGATCACCACAATTCAACCCTACATCCCTATCCATCCATTTAGCCTTACAAGGAACAAATCAATCATACTTTTATTAATGATTCTACAGAGCTAATGGCTGCTTTTCTTTCAGCATTTTTATCACTTAAGTAAGGTTTTGCTGCATTTTAAATTCAACCTATTATGTACTCTTGAAAAAGTCATCGTATCAAGTTTTAAAGGTTGAATCAAATAAAATATGAATTACCAAACCAAAATAAACAATAACTGTTTTTTCTTCAAATGAAGAACTGAACCCAATTGTTTTTCAGTTTTTCCAGATATTTTAAATTTGGTACTGTTTTTCCATCAAAACTGCACCTTAGTCACCCTAGGGTGTAGATCTGAAGGGATAGTAATAGATTCCCTAAACAAGAAAACCTACAATAATTCCCATTCGGACACCGTAGATCTCCTCCCTCAGGGTATGTTCCAACTTTAATTCTCACTTTTTGGTTCTTCAAGTTTCCTCCCTCAAATGCAGATTTATTCCACACAAGTTACTCAGAAAGCCTCTCGCACGGCAAATTTTTCCACCTAGCGTGTTTTACTACATTATTTTATCACATTCTCTCCCTAGATGCATACACGAATACGATCTGTGACTAAGCTATCCCTGATTTTTCTTTTTATTCCCTAATTCTACGGCTAGTTGAAAGAGAACAAAATCTTATATAGTGGATATCCACGAGAATTTCATATAGAAGCAAATATCAGAAGAAACCTAACACAATAATAAAAGTAAAAGGGGATCCACCAGGGGCTAAAAATGAGTAATCCTTGCCAATAACAATGACCAACAACATTTCACAAAATTCTACCAAATAAATAATGTAACTAATTTCCGAAACAGGTAATATTTAAACAAAGTGATAATCCTAATTTGATTCCAGAGCAAGTTTAATCAAACACAAGGTGTTGTTCGGGATATGCGAGCAATAAACGTGATGTAATTTGCAATGATATTTGATTATGATGAATGATAATCGGAATTCGGGAAGAAATGTACCTGCATCCACTTGGCGGTGTGGTTGCTGACTTGAGAGGTTACGAGGCTGAAACTTCTGGTGCTCGTGTTCCTCGATGAAGAGAATCTCATCAGGTTCCTCAAAACACTCGACGCCATCTCCCAAACCCTAAATTAAATCACACAATTCGAATCTGATCAATGAATCGCTCGGGAAATGAAGGAATCGCAGCGTACTGTATTGTCCTTCTGAATTGGAACCCACACGCCCTCCATGCGCAAAACGACACTGGTTACATCCAGAATGTACATGAAGTGGATCGGGCCTCTTCCCCAAATTCAAATGGGTTGGCCCATTCTCCATTGGCCCATCAACGGCAGCAACGAATGAGAAGGTTAGACAGCAATAAAAAAAAATGCATGTCATCATTACCAATTTACCTCGCATAAAACCTGCGTTACTGCATGTTCGGTTTTGATCTAAGATTTTGATTTTAATTATAAACTATTTCGGATAAAAGATAATTAATTAAAATGCACATTAATTATAAACTATTTCTTCATCTTAAAGATAGTCAACTACTATTTTCCTACAATTTTGATGGAAAAAAAATAAGTAAACTGATATTTTCCTTCAATTATGGTGGGATCAAATACTAAAACACTATTAGTGAGTCTGAGTATAATTTTTTTTTTTAAAAAGGGAAACTATGAGCACATTGCCATTTTTCTATAATATTTGCATAGGTGGCTTGCACGCTAATATGCTCATGGCCAGGTCCAATTTGTACAATTGACATTACTTGTAAACAAAATAAAGTATGCCAATTAAAAGGTCAACATTAATGGGACCACAGGCCTTAGCAAAGCAATTTTTCACAGCATAAATACACTTCGTTCATACAAGTCTGTGGCATTGATTGACTTCCTGAATGCTAAACTTGGTCCATAAAGAAAGGAATGGATGCACCAAAGGAGTAAGTTTCATGAACCCCTTTAGATAAATTTTTCACCTAGTATCTATAAGGAGAAGAAAATAAGATGAATCAAATTTCTCCTTTGCAGTTTGCACTTCTTAAACGATAATTTATGGAAAAGTTGAAGTAGATACTAACAGAAATCATGAATAGAGGTTGAGTTAGTTGTGGTTTTTAGTTAGGAAGTTACTGGTTAGTTATAATATTAGGACACAATAAACTCTATAAATAAGAGTCTCAAATGTATCATTTACCATCTTTTTCATATTAAAAAAATACAATGAGTTGTTTCTATGGAACTCCTCTTTTGTTCCTTGAACTTTATGATGCGTGGCCACATCAAATGGGTGTAACTTGTATTACCCATGTTCAAGATTCTGACAGATACTGCACAGGTTGATTTAAGTTATTTTATCTTCTTAATTCATTTTTATTTTCTTCTCTTCAAAAGTTTATCCAAACTGGTTATATATTTCATTTTGTGCCCGTAATATATGGCTCGCACTCACATTCTGATATATTCTTGTTTGTAGTCATCAAAATGTTGCAACCATAGATGTCCATGCTGCCAAAGATCTTCTCAATTCATCTGGTTATCGTTATCTGGATGTTAGGTAGTAAAGGGTTTGAATTTCTCCGATTTCCTTCTCTATTGTAAATTGTTTGGGAACAAACCGATAAAAAAAAAAAGAAAAAAAAAGAAGGAAACTAAAGTTGACTCTTTTGGCCCTAAAATAGGTCAGTAGAGGAATTCAACAAAAGCCATGTTGAGAATGCTCTTAATGTCCCCTATATGTTCATCACAGAAGCTGGTAATGTGAATGACAGCTTATCTTTTGATTCAAGTTTCTAGTATAAAAAATTGAGTACCTTGACAAATATGAATTTATCACCCTGCAAAAAAAAAAAAATGTTTTGTACCGTTTCACTCAGCAAACATTTGTTGAGTGACACGAGATTTCTTGTTTATGTTTTGCAAATGAACAGGACGGGTGAAAAATCCAGATTTTGTTGACCAAGTGGCAGCAATATGCAAGAATGAGGATCATTTAATTGTGGTAAGAAATATGAAGCCTTTAATTCTTTAAAATATAAAACCACAAAATACAGTGATGCTGAATGGTGGCGTATGATTAATGATCATAATTTCAGGCTTGCAATAGTGGAGGAAGATCACTCCGAGCCTCCGTTGATCTGCTTGATTCAGTAAGTTTTAAACTAATCTCAAATTCTCAACCTTGATTCACGTCATTTCACTACGTGCAAATTTTACACTTCAAAAAGTAATGTGAATGAAATTTTGGTACAAAGTAAAAAAGAAATATTGTTAACATAACATATGATGCGGTAAATACAGGGATTTAAACAAATTGTTAACATGGGAGGAGGCTACTCTGCGTGGGTGGATGCTGGATTTGCCGGGAACAATCCGGGAGAAGAGATCAAAACTAGTTGCAAGTTCCGTCCAAGCGCAATCCACTGAACACCGTAGCATCTAACATCTTCCGCTTGTTCCTTCCTTCTCCAATTTCATGAATAAAGTCCAATGTTTTTATTATTTGGCTAAAACCCTATTTTAGTCCCTTATAATTTTTTTTTGTTTCAATTTAGTTCCTCATTAATTTTTTGTCTCAATTTAGTCCCAAATTAATTAATTGGTTTAAATTTAGTCCTAAATTAATTAATTGGTTTCAATGTGGGACTTTCCGTCCAAATTGCTTTAACGGTATTAACTTTTGGCCACGTGGACGGCACGTAGATGCATACGTGGCATCCACGTGGATGAGAATTTTTTTGAAAACACCTCGACCCAGAACGGCCCGTTCTGAAACCGGAACGGGCCGTTCTGGGTGCACTTTTGGTGTGTTAATTTTGCATCCGGAACGGCCCGTTCCAAGTGCAAAATTAACACACCCAAAATGCACCAGAACGGCCCGTTTCAGTTTCAGAACGGGACGTTCCGGTTTTATTTTATTTTTTTATATATAAAATATTAATAATTTTATAAAATATATATTATTAATTATATTTTAATTATGTTATTATATCTAATAAAATAAATATATTAATTTTTTTTTATATTTTATTTTATTATGTTTATCTTATTAATTTTTATCATTTTATTCTTTTAATCTTAAATAAGTTGCAAAAAATTATAAAGTGATATTTAAATATTTCTTCAAACAGAAAGAGAAAAAGAAAAAATTATTACTCTATTTATAAGACAATTATATTTTATAAAAATAAGTAATTTTAAAATTTTTACCATAAAAAAATATTTTTCAAAATTATTATATTTTTTAATAAAATTAATCAAGAATATTGGTTTAATTGCATTTTTTATCTCTCAAGTATTACAATTGTGCAGTTTTGTGATCTCCAAGATTTTAATTGCATAATTTTAGTCCTTAAAGAATTACAATTGCGCGATTTTGGTCCTTCAATTTTTAATTGAACAATTTTAGTCCCTCGAATATCATAATAGTATGATTTTTGTTTCTCCCATTAAAAATTAATAATTTTAATATATATATATATATATATAATGTTTTAAAATTAAATAATTATTTATCTATTCAAATTAACGTATATTATAATTTTCGATATTATATCAATAATATTATTAATATATTTATAGATAAACTAATAATTTGATAAATATAACTTGTTATATATTAATATACTTTTACAAAAATATAAGTATATTAATTAGAAATATATATCTGATCTTATATATTTATATTTTTGTAAAAGTATATTAATATATATTAAGTTATATTTATCAAATTATTAGTTTATTTATAAAAAGGGTAAAAATATTATTGATATTAATTTATCAGTAATATTAAAATACTAATAATATATAAATTTTATTTATTTAGTAATAATAAATATATATCATTTGATACATTAATAAAAAAAATAATATACGTTAATTTAAATAAACAAACAATTATATAGTTTTAAAACTATATATATATATATATTAAAATTTTAAAATTATTAAATTTTTAATGAGAAAGACTAAAATTCCACAATTATGATATTTGAGAGATTAAAATTGTTCAATTAAAAATTGTGAGACTAAAATTACACAATTATAATCTTTTAAGGACTGAAATTACTCAATTAAAACCTTAGAGATCAAAATTGCATAATTATAATATCAAAAACACAATTAAGTAAAGAATATTTTATTCACAGTTCTGGAACGGGCCGTTCTGAAACCAGAACGACCCGTTCTGATTTCAGAACGGCCCGTTCTGCTTCACTGGTGGTGTTTTAATTTTGCAACCAGAACGGCCCGTTCCAGTTTCAGAACGGGCCGTTCCGGATCCAGGTGTATTAAAAAGAATTTTCTCATCCACGTGGATGCCACGTATGCATCTACGTGGCATCCACGTGGCCAAAAGTTAACTCCGTTTAAATAATTTGGACGGAAATCCCACATTGAAACTAATTAATTAATTTGGGACTAAATTGAAACCAATTAATTAATTTGGGACTAATTTGAGACCAAAAATTAATGAAGGACTAAATTGAAACAAAAAAAGATTATAAGGGACCAAAATAAGATTTTAGCATTATTATTTTAATAAGGAAATGTTGAAACAGTTTGTACCTTCCTTTGTAATTTGTATAATATCTGGTACTTATGATGGAGATGAGCACTCAACTTTCCTTCCAATAGCTGAAAATAATTCATTGTATTACTTTCATATAACAAATAATGACTTTCTTTCCCCATAGTTTTATAATATTTTAAAATTAATAATTAAAAATTAATTTATACTCATTTTCTGCTGACTAAATATTACTTTAACACAAACGAAAATCATTGTAAAAACTCCAATTACCTACAACAGCACTTTCTAGCTGCTAAAGAAAATTGCACGTTTTGAGTTTTAACACGAATTACTCTTACTTGGGATGATTAATTTACTGTGCAAGTTTGAGGATGTTAACAAGTTTGAGTATACTAATTGATCCGTCAAAATCCAGCGTGTAAAAATTATAATTCTGCAAATGCTGGCACAAGCGATTGCAGATATGACATCCAATCAACTTTCCCGATGAACGTGATTTTCTGCGTCCTCAAAGAAGCTATTCTGTATAGCTTTCACGTCTCTGCCATGTTATAATATTTTCTGTGGCCATGATTTTTGTTAAATATACTAATTGTTGCTTCCAGACCCCAGTGATCGGTGTCTGGTTAGCTATCAGATAGATCTTAACACGCGAAAAATCATTTGATAACTTGAACATACAGTTATACTGAATACGAGTACCAAATCAAATACCGCCCCAAAAAAAGTTGGAATTAAACACATTAAGTAAACCTTATAAGAAAAAAATAATTATCTCGTGTTAAATTTTTTCACCCAACAAAATCGTGTTCAAGTTTTGTATGTCCCTCACATGATAGACATTAGATAAGTACATTTTTTTTCTGTTGATATAATCTCAAAAAGACGTCATCCAAATATCAAGAACTGTTTTTTTTTTTTTTTTTCTTTCAATTTACATATAAACAACTTGCAAATGGAAGACGAAACACTAGTAACACAAGAATCGGTTTCCATCCAATAAGTAAGCATTTAAACGACCAACGTCAATCATTCCTCAAGAATCAGGATGAAACTCCTCACTCCTATTATCTAATGCATCCTTCATTAAATATTTCTTAGCCGATTTTAGAGTTACTTTTAATAAAACCGCCACAACATAGTAAAAGCACAAACACCCATTTAAATCAATTATTCTGTTAATCACCTTCTGAAAGAGTATCGAGCGTAGCACAGGTAAATTTCCATCCAAGTAATTTCGAAATAGAACAAAAAGCCTGAAGAGGACCCTAGTAAATGCTACAATACAAACAAGATGCATTGGTCCAAATACCAACTAAGCTGGAAAACTTTACACTATAAATCGGTGAATTCGAAAATTAATCCTATGCTGTTGGATTCCATTCCATGACCTATGGACTAATACAAACCGATTTGTCTCACTAGAGAGGGGACAAAGTTACAGTCAAAATATGTGGGAAAGGAATGTGCCAAAGTCTACCCCTAACAACAAAGATGACATACCGGTCTGCTTCCTAACCTACAGAATGACTTGGCTGTACCAATGACTAACTATAACGGTCTAACAACTGCAGCAAATTTCTCTACAAAATATACAAACATGCTTACATAAGGAAACATAATATAATAAACTTATAGATTAATGCTCTTGCTTAACTCTTGCCTTTAATATGCCAGGGAGAGGAGGTGATGTTGGAGACCTATTTGACACATTTAAAATTGTAGGAAGAGCCTGTGGCTGACACAAGCCTGAAACGCTAGAACCTTCACCTCCATCATTAAGATTGAGTATCATATTGTCATCCTGTGGTTTCTCAGAAAATTTCATTGCCTTGAGAACATAATTGTCGTCATGCAGCTCAAAGGGGGTACTGCAGAGAGACAAGAAAAAGCATAAATAGGAAGTGGCAGAGACATTTCCCAACATAGGGACAAAAACTTCGCACCTCAGCCACCACAACCGCATCCCTAATTTCTCTATTTTAAAATTCTTTTAGTGGCCTTGGCGTGTGACTGTTTGATCAAAACAGGTTACGCTAGTTTGACTTTCTTGACTTTATGACACTACTAAATTAAGCAGCTGCATACATGCTAAAAAATAAACTTGCATCATCACTCAAAACTTGAAAGAGTGCCAAGCGAAGCAATGGTAGTTTTCTTACCTATTGAAATCAAAATGAACAAGCTGCATATCTTCTGATATTTCCACTTCCACAGTTGCATGAGGACCTGTCTACAGTTTTAAAAGGCCATAAATGAGGTTAATTAAATTGCAATGCCATGAAGAGTAAAATCACAGTAGGGTAAGTAAATTTTTCATTAAATTAACAAGTTAGAAACTTTCTATGAACCATGAACAAGAATCCTCTATATAGACCCATAAAAGCCATGAGTAGATATAATGCCTAAGGGCAACCTGAGTAAGGTGAACTTATCAATATGAGTTGATAATATCCATTAGAAAATAGTTTATATAAAAATTAATTCAGTTGGCAAATTCAAATGAACATCCACGCAAAAAGTGAAAGAAAAAAAATATATTTCTAGCGTAGGGGCTAAGATAATTAGAGAAACAAGGCATGTTGCCTATAAATAAGAAAAGAGGTTGAGAGGGAATTCATATTGTTGTTGAGAGTCCAGGCCTCCAGGCCTCTCGAAAGTCCTGGGCATCATTTGTACCCTTTTTCTGTTAATAGAAGCTTTCTTCCTATAATTCTGAGCAGTTTCTATCACAACTGAGTGGGATCTGGTTTCATAATAAAATATTATATAATTTATAGTTAAGGCTAATTGTCCTTTCTTTTAACGAAAACGTGAAATCACTCTTTCAAAAATACCAAAATACAGAG